GGAATTCTTATTCAATATGTACTTGACCCGTGAGCGCCGCCTGGAGATTAGCAAGAGTATTAATCTAACAGACAGACAAGTCAAAATCTGGTTTCAGAACCGCAGGATGAAACTCAAGAAAATGAACAGAGAGAACCGAATTCGAGAACTGACTTCCAATTTTAATTTCACTTGAAAATCTTCTCCAAGGGGAGGGGGAATGGGGAGGGAGGGGGGAGGGAAGGAAGGAACCATTACAAATCTTGTGCAGTATTTTTGTTTAATTTCCCTCCCCTTGGGTATCAAATGCATTGCCTATGGGAGGGTGGTGGGGAGAGGGATGGGGTGGGGTGGGGGGCAGAAACAGGGGGTGGGGGGCAAGAACCAAGACCTCAGGCTCGTGTGCAGTTCTATGATTTGGGTATTGACAGTTTGTAGAGAGAAGGTGCATCCCATCATATAAGCATGAGAATCTATAGCATAAATAAATAAATATATATATCTATATATATGGCATCAATGTTTCTATGTAAAATAAAGAGTAAAGGGGGGTTGCTTTTTAAACAGAACAGCTTCTAAGGCGTTTTAAGTTATTCAAGAGCAGCACAAAGAAAAAAGGAAGAAGGGGGGGGTGAGAGACTGAAGGACCTATTTCTATGCCTTTGATATGTTTAGGATCCTAGGTGCGTCTGTCTGAAAGTTTGCTTTTCATATCCTAGTGTAGTTTGCCTATTGTATAATAAACAGCCGTGAGGACAATGAATTTCATATATGTGTCTGTAAATGGAAGTGGCAGTGGGAACATGCTCACGTTGGTGTAGTTATGCGGTCTCCTTCCAATGAGGTGGAACTATGAACCATTACATTTAAGAAAAAAGAGCATAATCAAAGCAGTATTGATATCTTATCATGGAGGGTGGGGAGGGAGCCTGGGGTGGGGTTTTGGGAGGAGGTGACTGTTATTTAAATATAATCTGTATGTGTTACCCTTTGCATGTATCTTCCTTTATGGAGCCAAATAAATTTCTTAGAACCGTGTACAACTGGGTATTTTTCAAACTGATTTCCGCCACCCCCATCTCGCAAAAAAAAAAAAAAAGCACGCCCCCCCCCTTCCTCTATGTAGAGTATTTTTTCTCTCCCCAGGACTCATCCTTTTTAAGGCTTTCAGGAGAGTATCCTAGCGGGTTTAATATAAGTGAGAGACCATAACGTTGATTTAAATATTATCCAGGTGACCACAATAAGTCAAGGTCATAAAACAGTAATGTCAGGACAGTCTTGGTAAGCGCTGGAGGTGGATTTTATGATCTGCAAATATAATGTGCTGCAGCAGTAAAAGATGCATTTAAAGGTGACTGTGGAGGAGGGAAGCAAGTCAGAAGCTGAGCTGCATTCTTGGGATGCACACTCCTCATGGCTTTGGGTCTTTTTTTTAAAGGAAAGGCACGCTCCTTTTTTACCTCCCCTGGAAGAAACCCTCTATTAAAAAAAACAGGAATACACTTTTTTTAAACAACAACAACAACAAGGAGAAGAGCCACAAGGCAGAAAATGGGATGTCTCGGTGGAAGACGTGCAAAGGTAAGACAGATGATTTCTTGGCTAAGATACATGGCAGAGATACAAGTGGATTTCTGTTTTGTCCCTGTGTCTACTCAAAGTAAAGGCAGCCTGGAGGTGAACTCCACTTTGAAGCTACATAGCTTTTGCACGGATGGGGCGTTTGTTCGGTTGGCTTTCTCCGGAGTTGTCTTTTGGTTCGAGTTGCCTTATCCTTGGGTGACAGCTCATTTTCGACCAGAATATGCATGCACGGCTGAGGAACGGTGGTGCATAGATTTCCATTTCCATTCCCACAAACACCAGCTACTCTACCCCACCCTACGACTCCTTCTTCCTTTCCTTTTGGTTCTTGTTTTGGTAGCAACTTACTTGTGGTGAAGTTGAGCTCCTGTTAGAGGTCTTGGTTTTTTTTAATTATTTTTTTTGTAAAATAATAAAATTATGAATGGTCATGGACTTTCTCAGTGCAATGGATATGATTCCCTTTAACATGCCTTTTGATTTCAGAATTGTGAGCTTTGCAAAGGCGATGGAAGAGACTATCATAAGAACAGTGACAGTAATGGAACATTTGGTGGCGTTTGGGAATGTTGTGGACACCCACCATCCGCGGGCGACCCCCTTTCCCTTTGTGGATGTGTCTCCCGTGATTTTCTGCCCCTTTTTTTCCTTTGGAGAGGCTGCTCTGGCAAGATAGCTAATGGATCCGGTCAGACCCGAGGTAGTTGGCCAGTGAAGGATCGTGGAGTGTGCTATAACTCAAGATATTCCAGCGGCTCCGTTAAACGTTTCAGCCGCAGAGACACAGACAACTAGAGGGAGAGTTCTGTCTGCAGATTCTATTAAAGGGAGAGGAGGGAGGGAAGAAGAGGAGGAGGAGGAGGAGGAGGAAAAGGGGGGATCTTAATGAAGAGATTAAAGATGTTGCCTTAATTTGAAGAATGTTTTCTTGAGGGACGATGGTTTGGCACTGGCGTTGCTTGCCTTCTGACTTTGGAGAGGGAGACAGTAGTGACATTACAGGAGAGCCCACAAAGGGGTTGGACGTCTGGTCTGGTCTTCTCTCTCTCTCTCTCTCTCTCTCTCTCTCTGTCTGTCTTTCTCTTTTTTTCTTCTTCCCCCCCCCCCCAACCACCTTCTTTTTTTTTTTCGGTCTTTCTGAGTGCGGATCTGCCGCCCTTCCATGCAGCTGATCCGTGGTTTAGGTAGTTTCATGTTGTTGGGGTTGGCTTTTAACTCGACAACAAGAAACTGCCTTAATTACGTCAGTTAGTCTTCATCAAGGGCAACCTTCTCTCTCTCTCTCTCTTTCCCTCCCTCCTCTTTCTCTCTTTCTCTCTTTCGCCCCCCCCCCCCCTTCCTCACTTATTTACACACAGTGAGACCAGAGCCGAAAAGACGAGGGGTGAAGCAAAGCTCGGAAAAATGGTTTCAGGCAGATATATTTTGTTCAAAAATAGATTGAGAGGGGAAGGAGAGAAGAGAGACCAAAAAAATGGGGTCTCGGTTGCATTGGGGGGAAAACAGACCTTCCAGACACTATAACCCCCCTCGTTTTGCCCTAAGCGTTCAACCCCCCCACCCCACCCCCCACCCCCAATGCCCCATCCTTCCCCCCTCCAACCACATATCGCTGCTTATGGACCCAGATGCATTTTCTGAGTTGGTTTTGTTTCTCACCAATGGTGTTATGGAGCCGGACAGAGAGGGCTGCTCACCAAAAAGATTGGAGTTTGCTCAAGTTAAGGTTGCAATAGTTGTCTGAGTGTCAATTACGAGTGCCCTTCTCTCTCTCCCTCCCTCCTTTCCTCCCTTTCTTGCTCTCTCTGTCTCTTCTTTATGGGCAATCCAGGGCTATTCGATGTTCTGCTTCGGATTTGGGAAAGGCTCTAAGCTTCCTGGGCTGAGGGTCTTTCCAAGGAATATATATTCATATGTGTCTCCCTCTATATGTGCAAGTGAGAGCTCAATAACCCAGCGTGTTGATGGCGATTGGAAAGCTAACACTACAGCCTAGTAACTTCTGTGGCAGTCTCCTGTTGCCATATCATGGCCGGTACCCCGGAGTATTAAATCAGAGAAGTTATAGCATATTATGTTCCCTGAAGGTGCCCGAAGAACAAAGCAATTCAATGGGAGCTCAAGGTTTCTCCTTAGGAATCTTGAACAGCTCAGGTTGAAAAATTAATAGCCATTTTACATGCTAAACAGAAAAAAAAATCCACGGTGGGTTATCACTTGCAGAGGCTCGTGTCTTGTGGTGGCTTTCTGAACACTGCGTGGAACATAATCTGCTTTATTCTCCCCCCTCGTTGAAGAGACCTATGGAAGCTAAGTAACTGTTGACTAAGAAAATGACTCTGGTCAGTTGGAGGATTAACAAGTTGTTGTGGTGGACGTGGTGGACGTTGAGAGAGAACAAGGACAACCATGACTTCTTTTCATTGGTTTTTATTTATTTAATGTATTTATTTGGTGTATTTTTTGGGGGAGAAGCAAAACACAGGGAATTAAAAAGGCAATGGTTGCTTTTCTCTTCTTTTTGCTGTTCCGAATATTATGGCGGATATGAGAGATTTCCCCATTCCCTCCATTGTTATCATACCTTTCGAGGATTAAGAGTTATATTCTGATATTCTCAACCTCACACTTCATATAAAGGTGGTCAGAGGAAAAAGTGACCCGATTTCATGTAAAACAGTTGAAGAAGGAAGAAATGTGCATAATACGTTGTGTGTTTGTGTTTTTCTCACCCGAAGAGAAATTGTCCACTCTTATCATTTTTATCCCCTTTGAAAGTGACTGGATTGTGGTTACTGTGGTTGTTATTAGTCTTCACATGTTGACCAACTTTAGAAATGAGGCGATTTGGTGCCCTCGCGACTGAAAGGACACATTCAGCTTGAATTAGGAGTAGTAGTAAACATGGCCTTCCAGGGGCACTTGAAGAAGACATGGTTTTCGGCATGATGTGCTCGCTTCCTTGCTTGATGGCTATATATACCTTTGAAAAGTCCCTGAAAGCCCAAAGGGGGTTGATTTTTGGCTCAGAAAAGAAGCCAAGTTATATTGGGTATCTTTCCAATGCTGAGTACTCCAAATGCCGCCAGGAGTATGAGTATGTTCCTAAGGAAGCGTAATACATATCTACAAAGACCCACTCCATTGTACTTCTTGTTCCTGTAAATTAGCATGGCACTAGATAAATGATCATGGATTCCGTAATTATTCGAAATAGTCCTGTGGTGGTTGATGGATTTCCCTATTCATTATTGAGAGAAAAGTTTCCCCCTTTTTTTCAAATTAACAGCTCTCAGATAATTCCCTCTTTTTTATTTTATAGCGACATAAGAAGTATGGTGATTATATATATATATATATATATATATATATATATATATATATATATATATAGCATACATCAGTTATGAATTTTTATTTCTGCCCCCTTCTATGCGCACACATACAGAGAGAAGTCTCCAGTAATATATGCTTAATCGACCCAAGTCAAGAAATGTAATAAAAGTTAAATCCTCCCCTACTGTGTTTCCCCTTCTTTCCTTTTAAACGATTCTATTAGATCTGGGTGAAAGAGGAGAATTTACAGACTGACGCCTTATAACGGCATATTCCTTCATCTCTTCTGTAAGAACATGCGTAATTATGAGGATTTCGTGCTGTTTTGTGCTGTTTGGTCTACATCGCCCCCTCCACAAAATATTGTTTTGCTCGCTCGCTCAACATATTTTCGCCGGGGCTGTTGTTGGGCTTATAAAATATGTTCAGCATTCCAGTTTGTTTACAGTTGCTCCATTTTTCTTGGCTCTGTTGCTGTAATTCTGCCTTTCACAGCAGGTGTAAACTTCCCAAGGCTTGTGTCTTTTGTGTATAGACAGGCAGAGCGCGCCGGCTTTGGTTTTGTTTTGTTTTCCTGAGAGTTTGGAAGGTGATGGGAAGAGACACACTCACACACTGTGTCCAAACTGTATATTACCAGACTCTTCGCTAGATATTAGTTTATTGTGAAATTGTTTGTCTATGTTCACATGAAAAAAGTCACATTAGAGGCCACAATCCAGAACAGGGTCGACTTGAATTACTTCAAAGCTTCCTTATCTGTTTGCTGTGAGCTGAATGCTCAACTATAGATATTCTGTTTGAACTTTGGATGCTCTATGTTTTGGGTAGTTTTGCCTATTTTTTTCATGTCTGTGCATCTTTCTGGCTATGGATGAATACCGTTATATAATATGTGTGTAACACATGTCTTTGTCTATCTCGGTCAAGCCATTCACTTAGGTAAATATTGCATATGTGTGCATGTATATTATATGCGCATATCTGTGTGTGTATATTGGCTGCAGGGATATTATATATTATATTTATTATGTGTTTGTGGGGATATTATGCATTATATTTATTATGTGTTTGTGGGGATATTATGTATTATATTTATTATGTGTTTGTGGGGATGTTATGTGTTATAATTATTATGTACATATGTGATATGGTTGCTTTTATATGCGCATTATGTACTATATCTGTGTATATTGGATGTGGGGATATTATGTATTTATATTTATCATGAACATATGTGGTATGGTTGCTTTGATATGTATATAATATATACATGTTTTTTCTCGCTCTTTCCTCTCATTTTGTGCCCCACTAAATTAATATGAAAGTATGTCTTTGCAACATTTAAGACTGTGAGGTTTCTGTGTATTGTGATGAACTGTGGTTTTACAAACTCTCATTGCAATGCGATCAGTGTGGACAATGCAATATTGAAGTCTGAAAATAGAAGCGGTTTGTGTGAGTCTGAAGGCAAAGGATCCCCTCGTGTTTTTGTCTGGCTTCCCTTCCTCCCTTAAATGGTTATTGGAAAGCTCGCAGGAAGGGCCCCAGATTGTGTCAAAGCCCAGGGTGGTGTCTGTGGCATAAGGCTGGGGGTGTGTTTGCCAAGAGAAAGTTGCTTTTACTCAGCCCTGATGGAAACTTGCCCGCTGAAGGCAGGT